CATACATACATACATACATACATACATACATACATACATACATACATACATACATACATAGGGGCAGATATATTTTTTCTTCTCTCTGCTACCTTTCATTTCATTGTATTTGTGTTTTCTTTTCTTTTATTGTACATAGAATTTTGTTTTTAAGAAATGAATAAAGTTTGAAATATCAAAAATAACAAATAATATATACACACACAACACAGTCATGGCCATTTTAAGAATGACACAAAACCTAATTGCCAAAACGTTTGTTGACACCGTTTTTATGATAGGAATTTGCATAATAACTCAAAATACTATGGCCCGGTATAAGATTTATTGCCAAGAAGCTTTGTTACAAGAACAAAAATCTACCAAACACAAATTTCTTACATTTTGTGCTAAGTTTTTTTTTTTTACTAGTCCCTCAGTCCCTGCACAGTCGTTATTCGGCGCCACCTGTAGGGGGCAGCATCGCTCCAGACAATTTGGACGACTCAACCGGAAACCACCCGGGCAGAGAGAGCGGAGGCAGGTAGCAGAGAGATGGCAGCCGCGGCTGTGGCTGAGTTTCAGAGAGCAAGGTCTCTTGTTGGAACTGACCGGAATGCCTCCATCGATATTTTACATTCTATAGGTAAATATAATCGACACTAATCGGTGATGGGTTTCGAGTAGTTTGACGTTCGGACGAGAAGCCAACACTTTTCTACATCAGCTGTTCGGTTAGACAGCGTGCTAGTTAGCGCCGAAGCTAAGCTACGCCTGCTAGCCCAGTGTTAGCCGTCTCCTTCTGCTCCCTGTTAAGAGTGAGTCAGCAGCAGCATACCGGCCAGCTCTAAATGCAAGCTAATGTTAGCTAACGGCTCATTCATTTGGCTGGAAGTTTAGTGACAGCTGGCTAGTAGCTGTTAGCAGCAATGAGTCTTCACAGTTTAGGGCCGTCAAAGAAATTAGTGATTAATCTAGTGCAACATTAGCAATTAGCTTTTGGTTTTGTGTAGCATATTGTTTATCAAAACTAAGCTGCGATCCTCTTTTTGTATTCTTGTTGTGCAATTATTAGACTTATGTGGTATTCCTCGCTGTTTCGTTAGCCACCTGGCTGCATGCCATCTACACAGTCAACTCATGACATACTGTAATAGTTTAATTTAACCATAGTCCAAGACGGAAACACCAAGTTTATGACGGTGTTTTCAATGGAGTGCATCGCAGTGGCTCATGTTAAAACACTACATCATCGCATTGTGTTCACCTGTGTTTTAGTGAAGCGGGACATCCAGGAGAGTGATGAGGAGGCGGTGCGTGTTAAAGAGCAGAGCATCCTGGAGCTGGGTGGGCTGCTGGCGAAGACTGGCCAAGCTGCAGGTAACCAGAGCAGAGTGGATATTTTTTCAAAACACAATGGAAATATTTGACTGTCTTGTTTTAAATAAAATAGTGAAATAGCAGCTAATAATTAAATATTTTTACTTTATTCTCAGAGCTTGGAGGCCTGCTGAAGTATGTACGGCCCTTCCTCAACTCCATCTCCAAGGCCAAAGCAGCCCGGCTGGTCCGCTCCCTGCTGGACTTGTTCTTGGACATGGAAGCTGCCACGGGTCAGGAGGTAGAGCTCTGCCTAGAGTGCATCGAGTGGGCCAAGGCTGAGAAGAGGACCTTCCTAAGACAGGCACTAGAGGTGAGGCTGGGTGTTGTTGCAGGATGGCTTGTCAGATATCTACAGTTACTGGAGTTACTCGTTATGATGCTTGTTGAGGTTGGTTGATGGATGGTGACTATGGTTTGTGTTCATGCAATAAACACTGAAATGTTTGCTGGGTTGCTCACTTCACCAAATCTGAGTCTGAATCTCTTTAAATGTTAAGTACTTGACCTGCTTAGATTGTCCACTCTTTTTGTAGAAAAGTGTATTTCTTTTCTAAATGTTAAAAGGAAAGTTTGTCTGTTTTGAAGTGGGTTTCTGATTGAAATGTTAAGAAAAATGATTACCTGTTGCTGCAACAAGCTCAGTTAGGRGAAACAAATTTTTATGGCTAGTCTTAATGTAGCTGAGGCCAAAGTGTTGCATTTTGTTTCATACAAAATTCTGTTTCATAAATTACAATACTGTTGTCAATTTTTATTTACAGTTTTTTAAATTTAGAATTCAGTGGCCGTTTCCAGTGCCGATAGCAGCAGCAGCTAACTGTTGCAGTTCTAGTGCAGCTTAAGTCACTTCTGACAGGAATATTATAAATTCTGTTAAAATTGTTGCATAATATAAAAGTATAAAAAGGGCATTTAATAAAACATCACAAAAGTTTGAAAGAGTTGATTTGAACTGAAAATCTGGAAGTGCTCAGAGTAGCTACTGCTGTTAGGAATATCCTTGAATACTTTAATTTTGTCTTTTTTCCCCAATATTAGAGTCACAAACTGACAGCACATGTACTGCTTCTGTCACACTTGGGATTATTGTAACTGTATAGGAAACGGTGCGGTTTACAGCTCAATGTAAACATCAAACTGTTTAAAATAAATCAGAATAGCCTCACATTTAGCCACAAGTCCAAGTAGCTGATGAAGAGTCAAATATTCAGAGCAAAGGTACAAGCTGAGTGCAGAATTAGAAAACATGTTGAATTGGGACAAAAGCTATCTCTCTGCAAACTGTATTTGTGTGTGTCATTAACTCTACACTTGCAACTTTAGGGATGTTAAAAAACATTGTTTTGTTTATGAGCTCACTCGCTTTCAAGCTGACCCTGAGTTTGTCTGGTAAAACATGGTTTGTTTGTTTTTTAACCAGGATAAAGGAGATTTTAATCTGTAATTTTTCTGTTCTTTGGACTGAACGTTGTTGAACCAGGCTGCTTGGTGTTGCCACATGGTGGCAGCATGGCTGCATTGCTTGTAGTTATAGTTTGCAGGATGAAGTGTTTTAAAGGAAAACAATCTACAAGGTTAGTGGACATTCACAAGAGGAAACTAGAAAGAACTTTTCAGGACTGTTTTATGTTGGGGTCTCATGATGTTCTGTTTATGATCAGATCCAATCCAGCTGCTAAGCTTCATCATATTAGTTCAAGATCAGTGTTGTATAAAGTACCTCAAAGTGATACTTGAGTAAAAGTACAAGTGTCTTATACTTTGGTAAAAGTTAAAGTCTTCTCTAAAAATATTACTTGAGTAAAAGTCTTAAAGTATCGATATTTTTTGTACTTAAGTATCAAAAGTAAATTTCTGACACAAAATCAACTAAAGTATTAAAAGTAAAAGTACTGAGTAAAAGTGAGCAGTTAGATTTTCCAAAATGACTTCTCCAAAAAATATTTTTTCTAACGGCAGGTAACTGTGATGGGTTGTGTACTAGGGTTGGGCAATATTGGCAAAAAAAATCAATCACGATTRATTGGGGTATTTAGACGATAACGATTAATTTGACGATTAATCCCCTGGAGTCCCTGGACACCGTTATGATCTAGTCCAGGGGTGTCAAACTCCAGTCCTCGAGGGCCGCTATCCTGCATGTTTTAGAGGTTTTCCAGCTCCAACACACCTGATTCAGTGATTGAATTAACTCTTCAAATTGGGCAGAAGCCTGTTAATTACCCAGCGATCAAAATCTGGTGTGTTGGAGCAAGAAAACCTCTAAAACATGCAGGATAGCGGCCCTCGAGGACAGGAGTTTGACACCCCTGATCTAGTCACATGAACAATTTAGTGGGAAAGATTTGCTCTTCATAAAAATCTGTTCCAAATTGTGTCAAAAATACAGACTTCAGGCTGTACATCTAATTTTAAATGGTGTTAATAGATAAATGAATTACAAAACGTTTTTTTTAATGTTCATCATATTTGAAGCGGAGAGGAGCACAGAGCGGACTCTGCCTGGTGGCATTAATCGTATTAATCGTCATGTGCCAAAAAGTAATCGATTAATATTTTTCTGGCGATTTATTACGCACGATACGATTATGCCCAACCCTATTGTGTACAAGCTAATAGGGTGTCAGAATGGCATATATTTATACTTCTCATCCAACCATAATTAAATTCACTCTATCCAAGAGACACAATTTATCAGGATAGTATTTTTTCAAGTAATAACAACTCAGAATAAAATAGGAGTAACGGCTTTCTACTTCTTACCTTTTTAAAAAATGTAGTGAGTAGAAAGTACAGATAATTGTGTAAAAATGTAAAAGTAAAAAGTACACTGAAAAATAATTACTCAAGTAAAGTACAGATACACAAAAAATCTACTTAAGTACAGTAACAAAGTATTTGTAGTTAGTTACTTTACAACTCTGTTCAAGATGTGGTTCACAAAAACATCAACTCTTCCTCCAAACAGACAAAAACACTCCCAGACTGTTGTTTAGTCTTTTGTGCAATAGTGGATGAAAATTACACTTTTACTTTCTTTACTCTAAACTTCTAAATGTGAAAAGAAACTCGGATTATCTGGAAAGTCCTTCAGGATAAGTCGTGCAAAATGTCTCAAAATATTAAACATGTAGGGCAGTTTTGTTAATTTTAAACTCAGTGTTAATGTTGGTCTCAGGAGGCAGGTGCAGCATGAAGTGACATCAGGCAGATTGTTAAACAGAGTTTATATTTTCATATATTGAAAAATTAGGACACTATAAGGATTTAAGGAGTGCTCTGATTAAAAAATAATGAACCAAAAATACAATATTAATACACATAACAAAATTGTTTTTTTAATTCTCAGGTTATAAACTTTCTGACTTCATATTAAAAATCCATAACATTTAAATGTTTTATCACAAGCATTGCAATTTAAACAAAAAACAGTGATCTTACATTATTTTCTTTATGCATTAACACGTTTTTATTATTCATGACTGTCATGATGATTTTTTGTTTTTTTATTAGGCACTCAACTTGCATTTATTTAAATGTAGCAGATACGGCTGGCTGGCTGCAGGGGCGTGTCTTAGAGAGAGGCTTTTATACCAGAACACAGCCGCTGTGACAAAACTGTGGAGAAGACACGTCACCGTGGAGAGCCGTTAACAATATGCAAATTAGCCTGCAGTACCACTGCTCTACCCATATGAGCAGCAAAAACACGTTTTTAGACCAAATATTACAGATTTGAACAAATACGCACAAAAACATCAAAATTAGCACAGAAACTACTATATAACATTTTAGACACATTTTAGACAGTTTATCAGCTAAAAAAAGTTAATTTTGGGGTAAGTTACTCTTTAATATCTTTCAACTTACGCTCTGATACTTCCTCTTCTATTTCCTGTCTTTTGTTCATGTGTCTGTCTCTGAACCATACGCCACAGCTGGTCTTACTACTCTCTTGTAAATATTTCCTTTGACATTTGCTGCCATCCTTTTGTCACAAATCACTCCTACAGCTTTTCTCCATCCACCCGATCCTGCCGGGGCTTTTCTTTGCTTTACCACACCTGTTTTCCTGGACAGTAGACCCCAAGTATTTGAAGTCCTGGATCTTTGTGACCTTTGTTCCACCTACTGCCCTCTCATTCACACACCTGGTCTCTGTCTTGTGGCTGACTTTCGTTCTTCTTCTTTCAAGTACTTACCTCCACCTCTCCAAGTTCTCTTCCACCTGTTCCCTGTTTTCACCACAGAACACAATGTTCTCTGCAAACATAGTCCACAAGGATTCCTGTCTGTCCTTTAGGCTTGGGCATAATCGTATCGTGTGCAATTAATCATCAGAAAAACATTAATCGATTATGTTTTGGCACTTGACGATTAATACAATTAATGCCACCAGGCAGAGTCCACTCGCTGGTCCTCTCTGCTTCAAATATGATAAACATTAAAAAAAGTTCTGTAATTTATTTATCTATCAACACAATTTAAAATTAGATGTACAGCCTGAAGTCTGTATTTTTGACACAGTTTGGAACAGATTTTTATGAAGAGCAAATCTTTCCCACTAAATTGTTCATGTGACTAGGACATAAAGGTGTCCAGGGACTCCAGGGGATTAATCGTCAAAGTAATCATTATTGGCTAAATACCGTAATTAATTGTGATTTTTTTTTTTTGCCAATATTGCCCAACCCTACTGTCTTTTTCTGGTATCCTCTCACAGCACTCTGTCAAATGATTTTCTAAACTCAAGCAGACACAATGAAGTTCTTTCTGACCCTCTCTGTTCTTCTCAATCAACATCTTCAAATCAGAGATGGTGTTTGTTGTTCTTTCTTGATGTAAAACCATCCTGCTGCTTCAAATCACCTCTCATCCAAGTCTAATTTCTCAGCCCTCTCCCGGATATTCCTCATTGACTTAAATCCTCTGTATTGCTACAACTCTGTATCACTATTGTTCTTAAAAGCCAACACCAGCAGTTTGTTTTGCTTTTAAAGAGACCAATTATGGGTCCTAGAAAATTTTATGGTATGTCTGTGGGCTATCCAGACCATGTTCATTCAATTAAATGCAGAAAATAATTCTSAGAAAATAATTTTTCCTCCTCCTCCTCTGCTCTGCGCTCACTCTGCGTGSTGTTACCAGAGCAGGGAGCAGCAGCGGTCAAAATACCTCAGAAACTCAAAGAAATAGGCTTTAACAAGGCTTTAATAAACTAAACAATAGAGGTACATGAGAAAACGTGTTCATAACGAATGAAAAAAAAATTAAATTGTATGTGTCCATGCCAGTCTTGAACCCTGGCCTCCTACTTTCTGGTCCAACACTACCCATTGCCCTATTGGAGGCTTGTTGTGAGATGAGCTGCACATTGCACAACAACAACCGTGACGGCTGTTTAAACTGAGGAGGTGGAGTTTCACCCGGGGGTTGCTAGGTGAGGGGCTGAACGCAGGTTCCAGTGGGTCGTCGTTCGGCTTGTGACATCACAAAATGACGGAAGTTTAAAACTTGTCGTTAATATACATTAAAAATACATTTACTTACAGTAAATATGCCCCTGGGTGCTTTTCTTTGGTCCTAGGACTTTTTTTTTAAGAAGTACATACCCAAAGTTGAGTAAAAAACCTTTAAAAAGTGAATTTTGCATAATRGGTCCCCTTTTAAGAAATACCTTTAACATTTGATGAATACGTGAAATTACAAATAGTTCATTTAAAAAGTAGTTTAATAACTTGAAAGGTTTATTGACAAAGTTTGCAGCTTTTCTAACTGCAGTGTTTTCTTATTGGCTTGTCAAGGAACGTTTCCTGACCCTCTTGGTATAGAAGAAAACCTTTTTTTAATTGTTTTAGCTTATTGTGACATTTTTGACTGAATGTAGAAATGATAAAAAATAATTTACCAATTTTTCATGATTATGTTGAATCTCTTGATTTAGTTTGTTTTGAGATTAAATATTTACCTATGAAAAATACTGATGGTGTCATCTGGCAGTAAAAGTGTTTAAATCTGCACAACCAGAACTGACTGACTGGCTGCAGGTCCCACTGTCAGGAGCATGAGGGGGCATTAACACATGTAATTATTAATGATTTAACTAATTTCTCCTCTCTCTTCAGGCTCGACTCATCTCACTGTATTTTGACACAAAGTGCTACCAGGAGGCACTACAACTCGGTGAGCACAGGGTTTGTTTCTAACTCCAGGTGCTGTTTTACATGCAGCAGGAACTAAAACAGAAGCTCAAACCTTCTCTTCTGTTCTCCTGCCTCCTCCAGGCTCACAGTTGCTGCAGGAGTTGAAGAAGATGGACGACAAGGCTCTCCTGGTGGAGGTCCAGCTGCTGGAGAGTAAGACGTACCATGCACTCAGTAACCTGCCCAAGGCCCGGGCTGCGCTTACCTCTGCCAGGACAACCGCCAACGCCATCTACTGCCCCCCCAAACTACAGGCAGCTTTAGACATGCAGTCAGGTAACAAGAACGTCTAGTTCAGTGGTCTGCAGCGTTTACAGTTCTGTCCCTGATCAGTTTTAATTCATGCAGCCTACAGGTGTCCTTCCTTTAGATGACAAAATGTCCATATCCCCATTTAACAAAAAAAAATTAAAAGTCGAAGTGAATCTATACATGACGTTTTTTAAAATTATTGATCAGAGGTCTTTGTTTACTTCATCTTTGTTTCCATCAAAGGTCAACTTTTGCGTCTGTCTCTTTTTATCAAACTTACTTAGGAGATTTGATCTTTACTGACCATTAAAGGTTCAGGTTCAGATTTATTCGGGTCCCAAAAGAGCAATTAATGTTACAGCAAGTGCATAGTACTTATACATACAAAGACATAATAAAAAAGTTCAAAAGTTAAAAAAAACATGTATACAAAAATTTAAGAAATGTATTGATCCATTGGGAAGATTCCTTCAGGGAAAATAATAATCTAAGTCAATCAATCAATTATCTAATCTGGGATGTTTAAAATGTCACTGTTTCCTTTCTAAGCAATTCGGCAAAAACATTTGTTTTAATGGGATTTATGGAAAAATAACAATGTAGGATGTTGGATTAATAAAGTGGCTAAAAAACAATGAACATAACTTATCAAAATGTTAATTTTATTTTATTTTTTTGCATTATTCACAAAAAAGAATCATCAGGGAAAAAATGCCAAAGCTAGCCTTTTTTGTTGTGGTTATGAATATCAGTRGTAACCACTTCCCTGTACGTTTTTGCCTAAAAATACTCATAACAGATTACCCATAGAGCTGCAGGTTGCAGACCTCTGCTGTAGATTTAGATCTCTCAGCTGCAGGAACCTTGATGAACAGAGAGAGGGAGACATGATGCTCAGGAGCGTCTTTATTTGTGTTTCCAGGAATCATTCACGCAGCAGAGGAGAAAGACTGGAAGACGGCGTACTCATACTTCTATGAAGCCTTTGAGGGCTACGACTCTATTGACAGTCCTCGAGCCATCACAGCCCTGAAATACATGCTGCTCTGCAAAATCATGCTCAACGCGTGAGTGCTGGAGCAGAAAAACACTCAAATACTGACCTGTGGTGTCAGTGACGCCTTTTCATTTCATCAACACTTTTCAGTTTTATAGAAAGAGAATTAAGATAATGTATATTGTTGTTTTGTTTTTCTTTTTTTTTTTTAGCCCGGAGGACGTTCAGGCCCTCATCAGTGGCAAACTAGCTCTGCGATACACAGGCAGACAGGTACGTCTCTTCATTCTTGAAAGTTCATAACGGCTGAATGAGTGTCCAGCCTGGCATTTTACAGAAGCACACGACTAGGGCTGGTCAGTGTTGATCATTCTCATTTCATTAATTAATGAAGAAATGTGAGCATTTACATGCATATAGTGCCAGAGAGAGGCATGGGAAAACACTCCACTGCTCTGAAGCTCTAATCACAGAAAGTTGAAATCTGAAACTAGTCTTCGGTGGTGGGCAGCGCTAATCCAAAAATTAGCTCCACAATTTCTAAAGCGCTTATAAAAATATTTAGGTCTGCATCTTCAAAACTGCTTATGCTGTAGAAAAACTAGCGGAAACTCATTTCAAAGCACAAGTTCAATTTGACATTTACTTGCTGACAATTCATGTACAGTATATGCACAATACTGCCAACTAGCTGTGTATGAACTCTTTTACAACTTAATTCTACAACCGCCGATTGCTGGGGATGTGATTTCCTGAAACAGAACTTAGGCTTCCTGGTGCAAAAATTAACAAGTTGTTGAGGATTGCTAGTTCGGCTGCTTCTTTGTCTTTTTCTTTTGTTTGTTGTAGATTTTTCATTAAAGAAGCATCAATAAAGTAATTTTAAAACTGTTTATTGGAAAACTGAAACGATGCATTCTGGGTACTTGATGGATTGACGAGAAACAAAAGCACGGGGAACAGGAAATTAGTATCTTCCCTTCAAAATAAGAGCTTGGATTTTAAAGTTTTTCATGTTTCCAGTGGGTTTTAAAGTTTTCCAGTTCCCCTGAAACTCATCAGACTGAAGGAGTCTCTTTGGAGGAGAGACAAAACTTTTCCTTAAAGAAGAACCCATCGAGAGGACCTACTTAATTTTTCTTTTTGATTTTTCCCTACCTGGATTAGGACGTTTTCCATGTAGTTGCCCAGTTGACCACTAGATGTCAGTCTTCACGAGCATAACATCTTTAAATCATTTCTGAGTCTCTAACACCGTTGGCCGATTGCTTTTGAGCTCCAGCGTTTAAACTTTTCATTTTTTAAAAAAAGGAGCTCCCATTGTAAAGTAAAATAAATCAATACATACAAAATTTTAGTATGGATTACAAACGTTTACTGTTTTTGCTATTGCCTTCCCGCTACGTAAGCAGACACAAAGCATTGTGGGAAATCAGAACCGTGGCTCAAAGTGACAGTCAGGAAGGATGTATACCTTCGCAATAAGTGTGTTTATCTAGGAGTGGTGCTTGTTGGATAGATCACGTGTGTTGTGATTAATTGACAGCCTTACCTTCTGCTGTTCAAGATAATGATGACTGGTAGATAATTAGTTATTAGCGGTACTGCATTTTAATTTTAGAAAGCGCAAATCCGCTTATGAATTATAAAAATTACTAAGTCTGCTAATGCGCAAATGAAATATTTAGGTCCGCAATTAGCGTATTTGTGCTTTAGCGGGTTAGTGCCCACCACTGCTAGTCTTGTTACGATGGTATGACTTATGAAACCTGCGGGCTGCAGCTGGGTGAGCTGGATCACTTGAAAAATAAGCAACGTGCAAACTTCCATTTTGGTGTGGGGTTACATCTAAGCCTAAGAATGGTCACTAGAGATTATTGGGTTGTCATGTCAAAATGCAAGATGGCCGCTGTGATGAATAGGTTTGAGAAAACGTGTACAAAGAGTTCATCAGAAACTCTGTCTTGACTTTGGTAGCAGTACTTCAGTTTGCCAAAATAATGCATTAGGAAGTTTCTCTGTAGGTTGGATGGGAAAAATGAAAAAGTTCCTCATGTTACCTGTTAGTACTTAAACTGTAAAACTTTAGCAGTGAAATAACTAATGTAGAAAATGCTGTATTTTTATTAGCTGCTTACCTGTTTTAGGTTTCATCTGACTTATTTGTTTTTACTGTTAGAACAAAGATTATAATCTTGGAGGACTGAGTTAGTGCTAAGCTGTGCTGTGTTCATGGCTGGTCATAAATCCCTTGTTGGAACTCATCCGTCAGGCACAATGTAGTTGAGAGTCATGATTAAAAGATAGACTAAACACCAAATGGATCTGGTCTTCAATTGTTTTTGGTTTTATCAGTCAGATCTGGTTGCTGATGTTTCTGTCCGCAGCATTGTTCATGTTTGTTTTTTTCTTACAGACAGAATCTCTAAAATGTGTGGCACAAGCCAGCAAGAACCGATCTCTGGCAGACTTTGAAAAGGTCTGTTTTATCAGATGGTTGTATTTTTTTAAGTGGCTCTAGACTGTCAGTAGCTTCTATCTCCAACAAACGTCCTGTTTTCCACCGTCTTCAGGCACTAACAGATTACAAGGCCGAGCTGAGGGACGACCCCATCATCAGCACCCACCTGACCAAGCTGTATGACAACCTGCTGGAACAGAACCTCATCAGGGTCATCGAGCCTTTCTCCAGGGTCCAGGTAAACTCCTCACTCTGTTCAGACTGAACAGCTCTGGTTTTCGTTTATTACTGCCAAACATCTGAACACTGTCCTGCCCCGACAGATTACACACATCTCCTCCCTCATCAAACTCTCTAAGGTGAGCATTGCCCTTTTTATTTCCATCTAACACTGATCACCTGGTTCATGTGTGTGTTCTGGGTTTTACTGCTGAGCGTTTACAGTCTGACTTTGTGCCTCGCAGGGAGACGTGGAGAGGAAATTATCACAGATGATTCTGGATCAGAAGTTTCATGGTATGTCAAAAGTTTTATTCTCTGCTTAAAACTGTTTGTTTTAAATCAATGGTATTGATGGTTTGTTGGGGTCTGAGTGCTGTACCTCCCACCTGCCAGGTATTTTGGACCAAGGTGAAGGCGTGCTGATCGTATTTGAAGAGCCGATGGTGGACAAGACCTACGAGGCAGCACTGGAGACCATTCAGAACATGAGCAAAGTGGTCGACTCTCTTTACAACAAAGCAAAAAAGCTCACATAAGGTCAGCCCCAAGAATGTGTTCAGAGTTTTTATTATTATCAGAAATAAAATGAACTTTAGTTTTCTGATAAAACAGGAGGTTGATCCAGGCAAAAGTCCTCTAACAGATCAGCAACAATCACAAAAAAAAAGGTTTTTATTCAGACATAAAGTATAAGTTAGTTGATAAATCCATAAAAAATCGGGACACTTGTATTGTTTGACATTATCAGCTCATGAAAGTGTTGCTGTTCATATCTGACTGATGATCTGTGGGTTTGTGGTTCACCTACAGGAATTTAACTGCATCACAGAAGTGTTTTTACAGCATCTGAGCCAGATGAATGACAGAAAATGTGGTTTCTCTGGCTGAATGTACAGTCATGTAGAAAAGTTTGACAATCCTTTATCAATCCTAGGGTTTTATTATGTCGCAGGACAAACGGTGACTTAGACCCTCTGTCACCTCAGTCTTTGACAAGAAGGTTCAACCAGCCGGCTGCAAGTTTTAGAACAAGATGTCTGAAACATAATTTATTTGTAGCCCATATCAACGCCACTGCTGTATATGGTTTGGCAGTGCCAGCTTTATTTTTTAATACTTATAAAGCAGCAGGATGTTGTTAGCTTGATTAGTGATTTATGACAGAACCAAGGCAGCTTAAAGACGAACTCGACTTTCTGACCATGTCACAGAACTTTTCCAAAGTCTTTCCATTTCTGTTCAAACTAACGAGTGTTTGTCTCCTCAGAGGGAATGAAMTCATCTGTCATCCTGTCCGGACTGACATGGGCCAGTCAGATCTCTGTCATCCACTCACCTCAATCTGGGGAGGATGAGGAGATTACAAACACTCTACCCAGCAAGCAAATAAACTAACTGTCCAGATGATGAAGACCCTTCCCCCCAATGAGGAAGAATGTGACAGCGTGGACTCCTCTGCTCGTTCCATCCTGTCACGGTCTCTGATTGGGGTCGATAAGACACACAGTGCGCCCCCTAATGGACAACTCCCGGCACTGCACTCTCCTTTTCTGCCTCTGCTGGTTTCTACTGTATGTAAAGTTGGACAAGCCTCCCCCTGCCCCTTAACCCCCCTGTTTCCTCCAAAATTTTTCTCTCTGCGCTGGCCTTCAGGGAATCTTGTAAAATAACAAAGAATATGTATACAGTACTTAAACACACGTGTATCATACAAATAAAAATGTTTGTTGTCAGAGCKGGGTCAGAGGGTAGTCAGTGGGTCTGAATTTGTTGTTTCATTTCTGGAGCAACTCTGAAACTGAATGTTTCCTTTTTCATTGTGCAAATGTATAAAATCAATCAAAGGCCACCCCTCTAAAAAACAAAAAAGTAAATTCTTTACAAGTTTGTGAACTTGCAGCACATTTGAATTGACCTGCCTGGTGTCACAAAGCATTATGGGACAGTGAGGGACACATAACTGTTCTGTCCATTTGGAAACACAGAACGTCCTGTCCCCCATGCACTTCCTGTTTGTACATAACATTTTCCAATTGTTTTCTGTTCATTCAGGGCCCAATCACTCTGCTCCCTGGTTTTTATTTTAAGAAACTTGTAAGAAAAGTAAAACTTGCCTCTGAGAGCTCAGACGGTTCCTCTGCGTCGAGTTGGTTGCAGAAAAGGGAGGTTTTCCTGGAGAAAATGAAGTTGTACATTTCTGAGAACTTTAATTTTGCAAAGACTTTTAAGGGTTTACCATGTATGGCATAGAGGAAGACAAATGCTAATAAAAAAATAAACCTGTACATGATGTCATTTTTAGATAGTGGAAGCCTCCTAATCTTGGTGGGCTTTTCCTCTTCTCTCTTTTTTTCTGTGTGCGTGTTTGTCATATTCGGCTGGTCTGCCAAGTCATGTTAATGATGGTTGCTGCTTACTGTTCAACAAGTGTGGCTCAGATAGTTAAACACAACACCTGGAGCCCCTCAGACTGCACAGGAAACTGACAAGTTCAACAAATGAAGCTAAGCTCAACCTGAACATGCCTTCCTCTGCAGCTAAAGCTTTCAGCACATTAAACATGTAGTCCAAGAGATATAGCATGTTTATCTGCATAAAAGGTACCAGCAATTTTGATGGTACCCCATTAAACTACATCCCTTCCAGGTATAAAAAATCCATTTCTTACTAAATTTCTCCTGGACACAAAGTTAGAATTCAAAATTAATGCTAAAAGTCATGGCGTTGACCATGTCTATGGAACATCTGACCATAATCGCCAGATTTTTTGTTTCAGATTTGATTTTTTTTGGTGCCAAAATTTAAAAAACTTATCGCTTAACTAAATCCAGGTAACTAATATTGAACTTATGTGAATATTGAACCATTTTTGACTAATGGTAGAAAACTGCCTATGTTCAAAAATGTCAAAGCTTCTGTCTGTGGCTCTGTGAAGTCACCATGGCAGCACGTGAGTTTGTGATTACCCCCACAGCATTCAGAATTGGACTGACAAGAAAATCATTTTGTGAACACTAAGATTTAAACAATGCAAGTCGAGCATCACTGTGGTTTGCTGTTCAGACAGATCTAAATCTATTTCACCAAAGACACAAAGAAATACCTGATTTCTTTTAATTCAGTTTAAGAAGATTAAGGATGTTTTGAATGCATCATGTTGGTGAAGCTGCAGATTTCCAGTTTAACTTTTTTAGCCTCCTGGCCAGCAGGGTTATAACAGCTATTTAAGGGGTATGATGTATTTTCTTGACACATACTTCAATTATTTAATGAAAATGCTGTATGCATGTGTTGATCATGAAATTAGAATATCATAAAAAAGTTGATCTATTTCAGTAATTCCATTAAAAAATGAAACTTGTATATTCATTCATTACACACAGACTGATATATTTCAAATTTTTTAGTTTTGATAATAACTGACAACTAATGAAAATACCTAATTCAGTATCTCAGAAAATTACAATATTGTGAAAACTTTCAATACTGAAGACACCTGGTGCCACAAACTAATCAACTAATTAACTCAAAACACCTGCAAAGGCCTTTAAACGGTCTCTCAGTCTAGTCATGAAGAATACACACTCATGGGGAAGACTGCTGACTTGACAGTAGTTTCAATTTTTGAATGGAATTACTGAAATAAATCAACTTTTTATGATATTCTAATTTTATGACCAGCACCTGTATATAAAAAATAAACTAGACTTCACATCATAGCTTATTTAAACACCTTAAAATTGGCCTGTTTCTTTAAGAACCTCCTACAGCTTTCAGCACTTCCACTTCAGCATGTTTTCATACTAATGTTTTGTCAGGTGGGAGGAGCTATGTCCGTTAAGGCAGTGCTATGTACCAGCAAATGTTTAGGCAGCTCCGCGTGTTTACCAGGAGATTCAAGGATTTCTCAAACATGCATGAATGAGTCAAAGCAACACTGTGGTTTCATGGTTTTTGATGAGGAATAACATAAAATTAGCTAAAAAAATAATCTTGCATTATACGCCTCCTTTAAGTCCTTTTTAGCAGGAGAGAGTAGGCCATGCCCCCAAACACAAAACAGCCATGAAATATTAGAAAGACATTCTAATAAAGTCATTCTTACTGTGTTTTTTCAAACTTCCTTGCACATTTAGACAAAAAAGTTTATCTTTTTAGATTTGAACATGAAGAGAAGGCCAGTACTTGTCACTTCCTACACATCAGTATAGTGTACAGTACAAACTTTTACATATTTTTAAAATGTCTTTTAGACAATTCCTTACTAAACCTAACATAAATTCTTACAGACAGAAACCACAAACGGGTGATCCTGCCCATCAGGATCATCAGCCTAATCTGTGGTTACATATTTTAAGAGTCGTGTTGACAGTGCCTAGATTTCTAAAACAATAATCAGGTAAAGTCTAAATATGCAAATGACAGCAGTGAAAAGAAAGTGATGACAAAACCTGTTTTTACAGTCGATTGACAGAAAACATCACCTCATGGACAGAGCTCTCAATCAAAATCCAATTTAAGATTCTGAGAATCCTCCAGGAAGGTCTTTCATGGTAAAACATGTTCAGTAGATTTTTACATTTGGAACAATAATAAACTAATTTTTCAGGCTGTAAAAGTGAAACAAACAAACAAGGAAGATGTCAAAAGTGTCAAGACAGAATTGTGGAAATCTGAAACAACAGCTAAAGGAGTTGTGACAGAAGTGGGGGGATAATCAGCTGAAGGAAATGAGAATTCTCTTTAGACCCCAAAAGTACCAAAACACAGATCAGCATCAAGGTGCTTCAGCTCCTACAACGTTATCAAAACATTTGGATCACAGATTCCTTCAGAGTGAAGAATACCATGATGCTGGTCCCCTCATATTTGCCAAATAAAATTTTAATCAGACCAGAGTGTTCTCCTGTGATACTGTTTTTTTTTTTTTAGCTCCCCCTGAGTCTAAAAMCAGGTCACAGTTATCATGCCATGCTAACATGTGAACGTCGTGGGGTTGTGGCCTTGGCGTGAGGCCAGCGAGGTCGATCCTTCTTTAGATTCTTCATGGTCGAGCCACACTGGTCAAACCAGACCCACATCATAAATACAGAACCTCCATGTTCCAGGCCTTAAAGTCATTGTTAAACAGCCACAATAAAAGGTCCATTAAGGTCTCACGTGTTGTTGAGTCATGCTTTTATCCTTTCAGTGTTTGAGTTGTTGACACTTGCTGAATGCTTCCTAATGAGGCCAACATGTGAGCTGTTTTAGTCACATGTTTTAAGGAGTTGATGGCTATAAAACTGCCTGAAGACAGGTGTTGGAAAGGTGGAACCCAAGATCCCCTGCTCGGTTTTTCATGTTTAAATAAATTATTTCAATCACCCTTAAAACCACCAGTCTTTACAAGGTCCCAGCCCATGATCAGAACTGAAGAATCCTTCAGTGTGAAAGATGCAATGTCTTCAAGAATCAAGAGAAGTCCAKTTGTTGTAGCCATTACAAGAAAAAGACAAAACGTTCCAGTTGATCAAAGAATAAATATTTATATCATAATTTTGTTTTGTCAACACTATAAACCTTTAGCAATAAACCCACTTCATATATAATGCAACAGGCTGTACTTTCAGTCTCAGCAGTGACACCTAGTGGTGAATTTATGAGAAGACTGTGACACCAGACTGAATTTATGTTTCTGTGTTGACCTAAAAAAAATCCACTCTTTGACATGAGGAATGGAAGAAAAAGGAAAGGCCCTAAAAGCCTTGAAGAACTATAAATAACTGTAAATACTTATAAACAACTGTTAATACTTATAAGTACCTGTGAATACTTGTACAAGAGATTTTGGTTTATTATTGTAAAAACCTTTATTTAACAACTCAGATTGTAGTCTTAAAAGTCCACAATAGCATTAACAGTTAACAATTCAACTCATTTGAAATGTGAAAATAATTAAAAATGTATTTTTCAACATTTCGTTGGAATTTTTCATTTGAATTATTATTTTCATTTGATCTGAGAGTCTTGATGCTGCTGTCTTTGCCTTACTGCTTGTGGAAACTGATGAAGCAGTTCCGCTCAGCTGTGAAGTACAGGTAGTTCTCACACTTTGTGCACTGCACTCTGACAATACTTGTACAGCCTGGGGATTTGCACCGGCCTCTTTTTGCCATGCCAGCAGGCCAGTGAACAGTGCAGTCCCAACGCACAGCTGCTGGTAAAACTGGTGCAGTGGTCTTTCTGCTCCTCTTCCCAGCCATAGTACCAGTATGTAATTAACATGCCAGTTTAATGCAGCACATAAATAATAGTTGCAATTTCATCCACAGTGAAGTGTAACTGCACTTTCACCCTCACTGCCACCCATGTCACTAATGTTTTTCTTGTCTTCGCCGTCTCCACTGTCCTCTACTGTCCTCATTTGCTGGCTCATAGTCTTCATCATTCAGGCTGTTTCATCATCATCATCATCATCACTCTTGCTTTTATCTTTAGCTTACTGGGTTGCAAGCTAATTGTTTTCTTCATCAAATCCTAATTCATCCTCACTACCTTCAGTAAACGTTATTTTGGTTTCCTTTTGTAAGAAACTATAAAACAGTGTTGCATTCATTTTGTAAATGGAAGAAAAGAGTGCCAATTTTAATCATATGCAATATTGAAATGACTCACAAAAGGCATTATTATAGCAGATTCTAGAAGGTCAGTGCATACCATCAACATGCCATACTAGCAACAGAAATGGAATCTTACTGGTACAGTGTTGCCGTATGGCAACATCCACATTTTACCAGTTTAATATTATTAAC